CCTTCAGGTCAGTGTTCTTCTCTGGGCCTGACCTGGTGGTGGTCCTGGTGAGGCCGGTGCTGCCCCCTGCAGGGCAGCAGTAGACCGTCTCACAGTACAGCAGCTCACAGAAGTCTACGTCGGGGGGCCAGGGGCCCAGGGGGGAGGTGGGTGACACTGAAAGGAGAGAACAGTTGAAGGTGGAGTGAACGGACGACCGGCGCGGGGTCATGTGACCTGCTGCAGTTACCTGTACCGGCCACAGGGGTGGTCTGCAGGGGACCCGTGGTGTCGTTACTGGAGGAGAAGAACAAGACGACAACGTCACACACACACACACACACACACACAGACAGACACAGACACACGGTGTCCTCTACCTGTCTCCTGGTGACGCTCCAGACTCCTTGTCCTTCAGGTTGAGCAGGTACAGAGCAGAGACACAGATGGTGCTGTGGACCAGCGACCACAACATGTCACCACATTTGGTTCGTTTATCTTTTCAATCTTTTCATGTTCCTTGGAGCGTGGTCCTCACCAGAGCGCCACGGTGGCCAGCAGGCTGATGACGCTCACGTGGAAGATTCTGCGTCTCGCACAGAGACGAGACTTCTGTCTCCAGTCGTCCTTGGCCGTGACCCCTGACCCCCAGGTGTCACTGCTGGGTGTTGGTGCGGTGGTGCTGTTTGTGGAGGTGGTCTTCCTGTTGGAACAGCAACAGAACTTGACGACAGCCCGATTTACCCATAATGCCTTTCAACAGAGCCTCCAAATGAACTTGAACTGTGATTGGCTGCGAGGGCCTGGTTATGAACCATGTTTGTATATAAAGTACATGTACATGTATATCTGTATATACAGTGTACTCCATAGACACCAGTCTGATCATCATCATCATCATCATCATCACCATCATCATCATCTTCATCATCATCATCTTCATCATCATCATCATCATCATCATCGTCAGCCTCACCCATTTTCTCTCTCTTAATGGGGGTAAGTTCTACTTCACCCCTGTTCTTCCTTTTCCTTATCACAGATGATACAGTATATATACAGTATATATATA